GAAATCGAAAAAGAAATGGAAGATGTTAACTCCTCAGATACGCAAAATAAAACTTTAGTATCTACTTCCCACTGTAACACTCTAAAACCTGAAAATAGTGTGCTTTTACAGACATGTTCTGTTATTGCTCAAAGCAAAATAAATCGAGAATCGTAAGATTATTAATTGATTCAGGTAGTGAACGAAAACTTCATCACCCACAAGTTAGCGCGCGATTTAGAATTGCAAGTCATTAGAAAAGAATTTCTAACAATTTATTCGTTTGGAAATCAGCGCGGTAACTCGCAAGCAAGAATTTGATGTATATAGTCTAAAAATAAAAAATAAAAACGATGATCGCTGCCTTGTTGTAGAAGCTATAGGGATAGAATTAATATCATCAATAGAATTCCAGGCGCCATCAACATGTCAAAACATTAAAGAATTTATGACTAAAAAGGGCTTGTGAACTTTCGGATACAAGTCCCGTTAATGAGAACATAAATATTCTGCTTGGCGCGGAGCATTTCTGGTATATACAAACAGGAAGTAATTCAATGATAAATGATGGTTTGTTTTATAGTACCGACCATATTTGGATACACAGTGATGGGTAAAGTAAAAATAATAATACTCGAATTAATGCGTTGTTTTTTATCTGCCGTTGAAGGAAACACATTTGATTTGCAGTCATTTTGGAAATTGGATTCGATAGGAATTGAAAATGAAAATAAAACATTTTCGGAAACTGATTTGGATACTATTAAGCATTTTTTTAACGACAGTTTAAAATTTAATAAACGGCAGATACGAAAAACAAAACTCTTTTGGAAAGACAATAAATCACAACTCGCTGATAATTTTTTCGTTGCTAAACAACGATTTCTAGGATTAAAGCATAAATTAAAGGGAAATGATTTCCTATATAATGAATATGATAATATAATTAGAGAACAAGTTGAAAATGGGGGATTGTTGAACAATGTAAGTTTGTTGAAAATGAACCTAACTGTTATTATATGCCTCATAGGCCCGTTATACGTGAAGGAAAAAGTAACAACAAGAATAAGAATAGTTTATGATGCCTCTTCTAAGTCTGAAGGAGCTAAATCGTTAAATGAATGTTTGATATCATCAGGCCCTAATTTAAATCCTAACCTGTTGGATATAATTTTAAAATTTCGCGTACATAAAGTTGCATTTTGTGCACACATAGAGAAGGCTTTTCTCCAAATTCAAATTGATAGTGAAGATAGAAATTTTTTAAAGTTCTTGTGGTTTGACCATTCTTACGACGATAGTGACAATAGTTTAGGCTTTGAGGTTTTCTGAATGTGCCGAGTGCCGTTTGGAATGACAACAAGTCCGTTTATTTTGTCCGCCACTATCAAACATCATATTAAGGGTTATGAAAAGAAATATAGCAAAGCTGTTGACATGTTAAATAAGTCCCTATATGTTGATGACCTTATCCATGGAGCAGACTCCGTTGAAGAAGTTTTTCTCATTATCAACTGATGCAGTTAAAATTCTTCAAGACGCTGGTATGAACTTAAGAAAATTTGAATCAAATTCCGTATCTTTAAAAAATCATTGGCAAGATATTGGTTTAATTAATAAGGAAGATAATTTGGATAAGAAAACGTTAAAGGTGCTGGGAATAATTTGGGATTTGGATGAGGACACATTGAAATTAGATGTACAAGAACTTTTACAACCAGTTGACTGGAAACACGTTACAAAGCGAAAGGTATTACAGATTGTGGCAAAAATTTATGACCCAGTTGGATTCATTGCACCCTTTGTTATCAGAAAATAAAATTCTTATTACAAGAGTTATGGGAATTGGGTATTGATTGGGACACAATTTTGCCCAGTATTTGAGTGAAAAATTAAAACTTGGTACTTTGAAATTGAAGTTATTCTCAACTTGTGTATTCCTAGAAAATACATATTAAAATGATGAATGTGTAAATTTCGATAAAATAGAGCAAATAGAGCTTTTTGTCTTTTGTGACGCCAGCCTCAAGGGATATGGAGCTGTTGCATATTTTCGTGATCCTGATTCTTGCTGTACGTCTTTTGTTCTTTCAAAGAGCCGTGTATCCCCACTTAAAAAATTAACCTTGCCTCGTTTTTAGAACTTATGGGAGCCATTATTGCCGCAAGAATAGTTAAATATTTAAGGAAATTATTTAATATCCAAGAAGATAATGTATTTTGTTTTAGTGACTCTAAAATTGTTCTTCACTGGATCAGGGGTACCGCTGATAAATGGAAACCCTTTGTTGCTAATCGTGTACGGGAAATACAAGATGTTGTATCACCTTCGCAATGGAAATACTGTAAGGAAATGACAATCCGGCTGACATGGTTTCACGTGGATTAAGAGCTTCTGATCTAGTGGAAAATAAACTTTGGTTCAATGGACCAGTGTGGTTAAAAGAGAAAAATTGTACCTTCATCATTTTTGATCCTTTGATCGAGCCTATGGTGGAAGAGGTACAGGTAGAACAGCGTCAAACTACTGTATGTTCTGTTATTAGCCAAGAGGCTGAATTTGAATTGACATCCAGGTTTTCATCCTGGAAAAAAATTGAAACTCGTAACTGCATGGTGTTTATAAGATTCTGCCACAATATTAAACCTACATCTTTAAAACTCAAAGGTTTTTTTTAACAGTTCAAGAATTGGATAAGGCAAGCGATTTGATTTTTAAAATCATGCAAAATTCCGAATTTAGAGAAGAAATTAGACTTTTGAAAGCAGGGAAGAAATTGAATCTCAGCAGTAAAATCCTGAAATTAAATCCTTTTCTTGATAGAGAAGAAATCCTTAGAGTCGGTGGTAGACTCTGTAACTCGAATCTTTCAGAAAAAAACACAAAGTATCCAATCATTCTTCCCAAAAGTCACCAAGTTACTGAATTGATAGTCAAACACTTTCACGAAGTGAACCTTCACGGAGGAGCCACATTAACATTATCTGCTCTGCGACGACAGAAATATTGGATCGTTAATGGCCGAGAAATTGTAAGAAAAATAATTTGGAAATGTATAAAATGTTTTTAAAAAATCGAAACAAGCACATCCAGTCAGATAATGGGCGACCTACCTGCTTCTCGCGTATTGCCGGATAGAACATTCTCGAATACAGGACTAGATTTTGCAGGCCCCTTTTTAATTAAAGCTAGGAAAGGAAGAGGAGGAACGAGATATAAATATTACGTTTGCCTTTACATATGCTTCACCACAAAGGCCATTCACCTAGAAGTGTTCAGTGATCTAACAACTGAAGCATTCCTAGCATCTCTGAAAAGATTTGTGTCACGCAGAGGAAAACCCAAGAAAATCTTTTCCGATAGAGGCACGAACCTCGTTGGGGCTGATCGAGAATTAAGAAGATACATAGCTACACTTTCCTCTGACGAAGCATTTCAAAACTACCTGAGCGGTGAAAATATTCAATGGATCTTCAATCCTCCTGCTGCCCCTCACTTTGGAGGCCTTTGGGAGGCTGGAGTGAAACAAATGAAGATTCACTTAAAGCGGACTATTGGGACCCAGGTTCTGACATACGAAGAATTTCACACCTTAATTACACAGATCAAATTGAGGCGTGTTTGAATTCAAGGCCAATAGTTTCCATCTCATCTGACCCTGAAGATTTTAATCCTTTAACACCTGGGACATTTCCTAATTGGGACTACATTAACAGCAATTCCTGAACCTGATCTTACAAATAATAAGCTAACCCCTGCTGAAAGATGGAAATTGACACAGCAAATTTTCCAGAGCTTTTGGACACGTTGGTCTAGAGATTATCTTTCACAATTACAAGGGCGTACCAAATGGTTGAGGGATAAACCAAATTTAGCCCTCAATGACTTAGTCTTGATAAAGGATGAAAATAATTAAAGTGGCGACTTGGACGAGTAATTGAACTATATCCTGGTGCTGATGGAAAAGTTCGTGTTGTGAAACTAAAAACTTTATTGGGCAAAATGAAGCATCCTATACATAAACTTTCTCGCTTACCATTGAGTGAATAAGACTCTAAAAAAAAAAAAAAAAAAAAAAAAAAAAAAAAAAAAAAAAGAAAAAAAAAAAAAAAAAAAAAAAAAAACATTAATTGTATATTCATAATTTGTGTCTTTATTATTATTACTAATTCAATTGTGTTTCAGATTCAGAGAATGGACCACAATTGTGGATTATGGTAATTTAGCAGTTTCATTATTTTGTTTTCCTTCTAGAGGTTGTAAGTATGTTTTATTTGTAAAATTTTGTGCTAAATTTAATGTTGTTATTCAATTTAAATTTGTCATTATGCATTTTTATTTTATATGATATACTGTTCAACTTTGGAAAACTTGTCTGAATCTAAAATTGAAGATCTTTATAATAATGTTGTAATGAACCAATGTTCATCGGGGCGGAGTATGTTCCGTCTTTTTGGTAGATAGGTGGCGCTCTTGATGCGCGCTGATGAAAAAAATATATCACTTGACGCTTGAACAAGAAGAATGACGCATGTCATATTTAGTTGATGCTTGATTATGTTTCATGGCCGCTATAGGCGGAAGTAATATAAGTAATATAAGTTTATCGTTAATAAATGTTATTTCTATGTTCTGTGAACTCTTGAAATTTTGATTTGAAATTCTAATGCTCTCCCAACCTTGACTCCTGAAACGAAACGATCTTTGAATTTATGACTCATGAAGAGAGACACCATACAAAATGATTCATTTTATCACTAGTAAGTCAGTTTGTACACTGATGACAGCAGAAGTGGTTGGGCAAGCTGTACATTGGTTGGGTACACACACAGCACTCTCGTGTTCATTTGCAGACACTCTTTCCTGTGTGAAATCAGTTTCCTGATGTCTTCCCTAACAATAAGTTTTGAAACACCTTGTATATGAATATCTGTGAAGTTACTGAATAAAAATTTCTTATTTTACATTTTTATATTTCTTTTTATCATTTTTTCTTATTAATATTTATAAAATTTTTTAGATGAGCTTGCTTGTCCTTCCCCAAATGGAACAGCGGCGAAAAGGAGTTATTATTAATGTCTCCTCACTTAGTGCATTGTCCCCTGTGCCCTTGTTAAGTGTATACAGTGCTTGTAAGGTAGTTCAGTTTTGATCATAAATTTCAAAAATTCATGTAAAAGTATTAACATTTTTAGTTGCATATAGATAAATTGGCTGATTGAAATTTCTGTATTTTATTGCATGTTCTTTTGTAAATTAGTGTTGTTTACAGATTTCTTTTTAAAATCAAACTTAAAAAGCTAATATTGGTGTTACTGAAACATTTTTTAGTATTTTCTTTGAATCTTTATTAATTTTTAAAGTATTTACATAAATGCTGTAATTATTATGCACAGGCAGTTTTTAATTTCACATTTAAAATTTGTGGTCTAGCCTGATATTTGAAGTAATTTCAGTGATTTAAAATTTTTTTGTGTGTAAAGTTAAGTTTTTTTTTTTTTTTTTTTTTCCCCTATTTTACTTTTTTTAGAAAAGAATAATGTATGTTATTCATCCCCCCCGGAATAGCTTGACTCATTAGTTATTTAGCTGTCTCACCATCCAGAATGTTGCCTGTGCGGCACTATAGTAGGTAGGCCTATATTTGCCCCTATAGGAATACATACAAGCCTTATGCTAGAGCTGAACCCTTATCTTTGTTTTTTGTGTAGCACCTCTGCTAACCATTATACCATTCAGTATTTTATGCAAATTGCAGTTGTTTTATTCATGAAAGCTTCTGAGTTAAATTATTATAATATATTCCTTCAAATTATGCAATGTTAGTATAAAATTTTTTATGCATCTAATATATATTAGAAATTCATTTTTGATGCCCATGTTAAAAAATAAGAATCAGAAATATTGAAAAATTAGTTTGAAATGCCTCCATATGCCTTCTTCCATTAACAATTTCAGTATACTTTCTTCTGTTAATAATAAATTCTGGAAAATTGTAATTTTTGAGCAACACCTTTAGAGATGAAAGGATTGTTTTATGTAGATTTTATTTTAATAACTGAAATTCTTTCCTTATAGGTCTATGTAAATTTTTTTACTCGAGCTACTCAGGAGGAGTATAGTTCTAAAGGTATTATTGTGCAAGTAAGTATTGTAATAGTTTTGAATTAAAAAAACTCAAGAAAAATGTACAAAATCCTTTTCTTTAATTATCAGCCTCCTCGAAGGAAAAGGCAGGGATATGTGGATACAATGAATTAAGTGTAATATGTGAATTTGGGAGAATTGTAGTATTAATTTTTAGAGTACTTGGGTGTTAGCTGATAATTGACATTACATTTCCGTCATATCTTCCATTATGTACAGCTTTTCTGGATGAGAATCAGAACATTCATAGTATTTTGGCCTTATGTTCTGTTGATAAATATTTGAAAGACCCCATTCATTTTGTACAGGTATGTGCTTGCTTAACTCTTGAGTTATTGTGCGCTTAGTGCCTGTGCTCAGTTTCAGTGCCTGTCAGATCTTGTGCATGGTTGTTCACTTGTTATCCATAAACTGAAAGTCAATCATTGCTATTCTTCTGTTATTATCCTGTTTACTGGTCTTGATATTGTAACATTTGTTGCTGACATGCATTTTTGTTAAAACATGTTTGGCAATTAAAATACTGGAGTATATTTTAACATGTTTATCTTTACATCATGTGTTCAGCATATGCCTGTCTTTTTTTTAAATTATATTCTCCATTATTAAAAATTTTCAAAATTTTTGTTGAATCTGTTATTTGCAACAGTTTATTTTTATGTATTCTCTACAACATCATACTTTCAAATAGAATGATTGCTACAAAGTGAATATTGCTTATCAAATCTTTATCAACTTCTGCCTTTCGCTTGCAGGTACCCTTTTCCATTGTGCATCATTGTCATTTTCATCTGAATTGCTCAAAATTAGTAACTTTTCTGCAAGAATCAGAATCAAGAACCTCTTACTAATATGTACATTTCCCATTGTTTGTAAGTTTCATATAAATGTATGTTTTAATAATGGAAAGTTTTCAGTTTCAAACATTCAGTATATTCAGTATTCAGTATATCAAGAAGCGGTATCCATGGCAATCAAAAATTAACATAACTGAAACTGAAGAAATTTTTAATCCCAAAGTGATTCTTTAAAGTTAGCTGCTGTAGTAAATTTTAAAATACTACTGCACAAAAATTGATGGTATTGCAGGAATTTCTTTTTATTTGTATGCATTTATGCTTCAAAATTCAAAATTATATGCCATGATTAATTATATCTTCTAAAATTTCAGTCAGTACTCCCAGGCTTTGTATCCACTAAAATGTCAAAGATGAGACCTAGTTTTACCACTTGCACACCTGAAGCATTTGTTCGCTGGGCACTGAAGACTGTAGGAGTTGAGAGTCAGACATATGGATATCCAGTTCACAAACTACAGGTTTGTAAAGCAACACTAATAAATCTGCTCTTTTTTGCACTTTTTCATAAAAGATGTATTTTCCCTTTTGAATTATCTTTTTCTACCCTGTCAAAAAATGTATTACAGTCAAAAGTCGTTAATCCGGACTTGTCGGGACTTCGGCGATTCCGGATTATAGATCATCAGTTTAAATCTGGTAAGATGGCATGCATAAATTACAAAATTAAAAATATTAAACCATAATTTATGAAATAAAGAACAATTATGATCTAAAGGGTGTCAAAATTTACAAAAAGAAAAAGCTTAATATTTATTTAAGTTGTTTAAGTTGCTTCGTTTCATGTGATAATACTTTCTCTTTAATTATATTAAACATATATAATTTCTTGTTTAGTTACAAAGTTCCGCTGTTCAAGTCCTATAATTGCTGTGTCCAGAATACCGACTAATTTGTCAATCAAAATTTTTTCGTTTTCAATAACCTCTGTGTCACTTTTTTCACTATCGGAAGCGAATTATAATGACGAGGAATTTGATTTAAATCATATCAAAGACGAAGTACAGCGAGATGAAATACTACATTTAGTAAGGAATTATAAGCCAAATAAAATAAAAGCATGTGCCCTGAAGATAAGGATAGTGCTGAGATCAACTTCCAATTCATTGCGCGCCCCAGCGTCCCCCCGCCGCCGCAGAGTAGTGTGAAATTGATAAACAGATTTTGGATTTCGAAACATACTTTCGCTTTGTAGATCCTTTATATATTAGTAAATATATATCAGAAATTCTATTTGACATAATCGAAACGTTCAAGCTTACTTTTATAAAATTGGTCTAACAGTCTGCAAAAAATAATAAGCCGGATCCAATTCGAAGATTAAGGAACAACGCAATCTGCAACATTAACTGAATTAGATAATTTTACCTTAGCTTATACCGTCCGTTATACATTAAATGCGCATGCGTAAACGTATTATGCACATGGGCACATGCATATTCGCAGCCGTAAAGGTCTTACGCGCAGGCATAAACGCCGAAACGTCAATACGACGCATGCGCAGAAAGCTTGTAGCTTTGAGGTCCGGATTATGGGTGTCCGAATTAATGACTTTTGACTGTATTAATTGTAAAATTATGCGGCTATTTTTAAATCTGATATCGTACTGTGCTGATTATAAAGTTAGTACTCCAGTTCTTAAACAGGGCAAAAGTTAATATTTATTAAAACATCCAACTTAAGAAAGAGCATTGCAACAATATATGTGAAAGAAGTGAAATTGGATTTACTTCTTTTTAATGTGAGAACACGTTGATGATATTCTTAGAGCTTCATGGGAAAAGAGAACTTCAGTAAAATTTTTGGTAAGCCAGCCTTCAGATATTCTGCATCAATAAATAAACCTAATTTACTCTAAAAACTTGTAGGAAGGAATAGCATTTGTATGTAGGGCATTCAGTAAGTTCTAAGACTGAATCTGATGTAAGAGCACTGTGAAGTTGAAATATTTTACAGCCATTTCATCAACCTCCTCTATCAATGCATCTATTTCATTCAATGATTTTGTTCTGCACTGTGTTAAAACTGGTAAGGTAAGAATGTCTGAGAAAAGTAACACCATCAGTCATTGCAACCAAGAATGATACAGTCAAAAGTCGTTAATTCGGGTTTATCACCAGTTAATATAAGCATGGCCTCAATCGGGGTGGTCTTCATGGCTCCAGAAACAGTACGTAAGCCCTGATTTTGAATTTTTTCTAAAGTATAGAGTACATTTTCCATGGCCACAACAAGTGGTTCACAACAGTAAGTCAGAAGGGGGAGGAGAAAAGAATGATAAGTTTGGAGCAGGGTTTGTCTAGTGAAACCCCACTAAGGTGATTAAGGACTTCCTTCTCCAATATGTGTAAGACCTTTACGGCTGCGCATATGCGTGTGCGCATGCGCATAATACGTTTACGCATGCACATTTAATGTATAACTGATCGTATAAACTAAAATTATCTAATTATCTATTTCAGTTAATGTTGCAGATTGCGTTGTTCCTTAATCTTCGAATTGGATCCGGCTTATTATTTTTTGCAGACTGTTAGAGCAATTTTATAAAAGTAAGCTTGAACTTTCGATTATGTCAAATAGAATTTCCGATTTATATTTACTAATATGTAACGGATCTACAAAGCGAAAGGATGTTTCGGAGTCCATTAAACAAAAAGTGGAATTGCTGCAAAAAATGAATAAAGGCATATCCTTTGTTTATCTTTAACGCTGCGGGTGCAATTAATTGGAAGTTGATCTGTCAGCACTATCCTTATCTTCAGGGCAGATGTTTTTATTTTATTTGGCTTATAATTGCTTACTAAATGTAGTATTTTATTTCGATGTACTCCGTTTTTGATATGATTTAAATCAAATGCCTTGTCATTATAATTCGCTTCCGATAGCGAAGAAAGTGACAGAGGTTATTGAAAACGAAAAAATTTCGATTGACAAATTAGTTGGTATTCTCGACACAGCAATTATAGACTTGAACAGCAGAACTTTGTAACTGAACAAGAAATTATGTCTGCTTATAGAATTAAAGAGAATGTATTATCACATAAAAAACAAAGCAACTTAAACAACTTACATTGAAAGAAATGTTTAATAAAGTAAACAAAAAAATATTAAGCTTTTTTTTTTGTAAATTTTGATACCCTTTAGATCATAATTGTTCTTTATTTCGTAAATTACGTTTTCATATTTTTAATTTTATAATTCTGCATGCCCATTTACCAGATTTAAACTGATGATCTATAATCCGGAAAAATCGATAACCCGGAATTGCCGAAGTCCCTACGAGTCCGGATTAACGACTTTTGACTATATAACACTAACCAAATATCTATAAGCACATGAAGAATGCATACGAGAAATTTGTCTCTTTATGTGCAACTGTTAAGATAATAGCAAATTTGTTTTTAAAGTCTTGGGAAATTGGAAAGTAACTGGAGAGTCATTGGGAAATGACCTGGGTTGTTTTTATCCAGCTGAAGGCACCACTGATGAAGTGTGCCCCAAACTGAAGGATATATTTAGTTTGCTACAGAAAGAATCTTCATGAATGTCAACAAATATCTAAGGCTTGTTTCTGCCATGTTCCAGATATGTTGATACGTGAAATAAAAACAAGTTGATTAAAGTCACCATAAAATATTAGCCATAATAAATGTTGAAGAACTGCCATTTTGTGACCTTATGGTAGAACATAAGATCTGTATTTACTACTGAGAAGATGCACTTGTAAAAGTATTTATTTAATGATGATATAGGAAACTGTTATATGTTATTTTGAAGAGTGCAACAAGATCTCTTTTTGAAGAATCAGAAGCTGACTGATAGATGCACTAAAGGCAATGCTGATCTTAGGAATTAGTTTAAAAGAAAATGATAAAGTGGCACACAAGATCTTTAGTCATTATGTGTTACGTACTTTTATTTTCTAATTTATATAGTTGCATCAGAATTTTAAGTAAATTTTTGCTACAGTAACATTGATTCGTCGGTACAATTTTGCCAGATTATTACGTCGAGTACTTTCAGAACTTTAGTTGTGCTTAATATTATCATATATTTATTTTTATATATTTATATTTATTTAAATTTATGTAATCTTTTCCTAGTATCACATTTAGTGCAGTGAAAAATATCAGATAACAAAAGAAGTAAATTAAGAAATTTTTTGCTTGTTATTTTAAAATGTGTAGAAATATAATTACGTCAAGTAATGCATTATAAATTTTTTTAAAAAATTAAATGCTCTGTTTTGTTTAAATGATATTCACTTTTTTTTATAAATGGAACACCTTAAGAAAATGGCGTATAGGATAAGGTTATTTTCCTTGTTGCAATATGTATATTTGTGCTCTTATTATTTTAATATTGTTGTGTGTACGGGTTCGTAATAAATTGAATGCACAAGTCCGCTAAAAATTCAATAAAATTTATTCCTATCACCAGAAATGAAACAAAATGCTGAATTTTTTCCCTCGCATATATTCATGCAATATCACAGAGTAGTTCTATTTTAAACTACTAAAACATTAAATAGAACTCAATCCATAACATAGAGAAAGCCAATCCAATTTCAAAATTTACTGCAGCTAAGTAAACAACAACAGTGTTGCATGTATGTGGCAACACACTAGCTGCTTGTTGAACTGAAGTAATCATCAGTTCATATTAGGTTGTAATAAACAATGTGTTATGTGAGTATAATGTGTAGTAATGTCACTTACTTATTGATCAAGTAATATTAACATGAATACAACATGGTGTAGTCACGTGGAGTAGTATTAAAACTAATAACCAGGCAATCCCTTTGGTTGTTTTTCCTCTCAACAGATGCAAGATGGAATTTTATCGCCCACCTCTAGGCCTAAGTTTTCATGGCAACGTGGCCAAAAACTGGTGCAGGTTCAAGTAGCTGTTCCAGACTTATATGAAAGCTTCAGGAAATGCTTCAAAAGATTCAGATGAGAAAATTGCTTTATTTTTAAATGCCGCTGGTGAGGAAGCAGTTGAAGCGTTTAACATGCTCAGTCTTTCAACAGGAGATCAGGGCAACTATGCAAAATTACTTGAAAGGTTTGAAGCTTTCCTGATGCTTAGAACAAATGTCATGATGGAGAGATTTTTATTCAATAAGAGAAAACAAGAAGAAGGAGAACTTTTTGATTGTTTCATGACTGACCTGAAAAAAACCGGTAAAATATTGCAACTTAGGTGAGGAGAGTGACTCAGTCGTATGTGATCACATTGTCCTTGGAGTCCTTGGAGCCAGTTTACAGGAGAGGATGCTGCTGCAAGAAAAAATAATCTGAGTTTGGACACAGCGATTGCGTTATGGAAAGTAACTTAATTGAGCAAAGTTCGTGCTCAAACGTTAAGAGAACATAATGTTGACAGTGTAACTAGAAGGAAAGTGAAGCAACATCAGGCAGGAGGAGCCAACTGAGACGTAGCAGTCACGAAATGTACGTACATTGCGCAGAGGATGGCATGATGACGCTTCAAATACTGAGATGTTTTTGTGTAAAAAATGCAACAGACATCACGTTAATGGACAATGTCCAGCATATAAAAAAAAATGCTTTAATTGTGGCAAAACTAAATCACTTTTAGATTATATGCAGACTAAAACAGGTCCAAAATATTTCTCAGCATGATAACGCAGATGTATATAGCGAGTCTGATGATGAATTCTTCATGGATTCCATAAATGTCCAAAAAACTAAAAGTGTATGCTCAACATTGTCTACAAAAGAGTGGACTAAAACTGTAATTGTTGAAGGGACAAGTGTGACCTTTAAGTTAGACACAGGGTCTGAAATGCGTGTTTTGCCTGTGAAAATTTACAAAACACTGAGTGCTAAGAACTCTAATCTTAGTGTAATGTTTTATTAGAAGCATTTGGGAGGTCCAAGGTTAAACCTGATGGGTCGTTAATGCTACAATGTTCCTCAGATGGTGAGGATTATACTCTAGAGTTTTTAATTGTTTCTAGCAAGCATATATGTCTATTATTAGGACTTGATGCATGTGCTAAATTTGATTCAGTTCATAAATAATGTTGGAATATCAAATAAAGGTAAGCTGCATCAGTATACAACTGTTTTACCTCCATCTAAAGATCAATTTATTATTAATAATTCAGAAGTGTTTAAAGGTGTGAGAAAATTTAATGGATTGTGTAAAATCATAGTAGATGATCAGATAGCTCCTGTAGTGAGACCACCTCGTAGAGTACCATTTAATTTAAAACCTAAGCTTGAATTAAAATTAAACGAATTAGAGAGACAGGGCATTATTTCAAAAGTGGATTAACCTTTGAACTGGGTTAACAATCTAATAATAATTGAAAATGGATTCTTAAGGATATGACTTGATCCTCAAGATCTTAAAGCTATAAAAAGAGTACATGTGTTGATTCCAACAATTGAGGAGATTTTACCATAGCTATGTAATAAATCACCTACTCTGTTTTGTACTTAAAGGATGGGTTTTTTTCAAATAGCATTAAATGGGGCTACTAGTAAGCTTTGTACTTTTAGCTCACCATTTGGATGCTATAAATTCTTAAGGCTTCCAATGGGTATTTCCTGTGCACCTGAAAATTTTCAGAAACGCAATCTTGAAAATTTTGGTAATATACCAGGAGTATTGATCTATTTTGATGACATCCTCATTGCCGCTAGCACTGTACAAGAACATGATAAAATTTTAACAGAGGTCACCAATGGAGCTAAAAAACTCAATATTAAATTCAACAAGCAAAAACTTCAATATAGGGTTAGTGAGATTAAATATTTAGGTAATTTATTTATTGTATCAGGCATGCGACCTGATTCTGATCGAATTAAAGCCATTAGTGTGTTACAGGAACCTCAGAATAAGTATGAATTACAGCGTGTTTTGGGAATGTGTAATTATTTGAGGAAATTTGTACCACATTTTTAGGAGAAAACAGCCATATTAAGGGATATTTTGAAAAACGAAGTAGAATGGTAGTGGGTACAGCTACATTCTAAAGCATTCAGAGAATTAAAAAATTTAATTTCCGATGCACTCGTATTAGGAATATTTGATAGCAGTAAACCTATCACTATACAGGCAGGTATTTCTAAGCATGGGTTAGGTTGCTGCTTATTGCAGAATGGGCAACCAATTCCTTTTTCATCTAAATAATGCAGGAAAAAAAAACCTATGCTCAGATTGAGAAAGAAATTCTTAGTATAATAAATTTTACTATTACATTTATGGTAGAGAGGTAGAAGTGCTTACTGATCATAAACCATTAGTTTCAATTATGACCAAAAATATTGCTAATGTATTGTCAAATAAATTGCAAAGGATAAAAACCAAGCTCTTAAAATATAACTTAAAACTTAAATATTTGCCTGGGAAATATATGTATATTGCAGAAATCTGCACGTTCCTTTATTGATGCACACGCAAATAAAAACATGAATATTACAGAGATTGTTCATACACTAACAAAACAACTGCAAATGCCTGAAAGTAAGAAAAGGGAATTTCAGAAAGCTACTTTAGAAGATGAAGGGTTAATGTTAGTGAAAGAATATTGGCAATGGATGGCCTTTGAGCATTGATAAAGTTCCTAAAGAAGCAAGATCTTATTTCAAATTTAAAAATGAGTTGTGTTGAACAAGATTTAGTTTATATATATATAACAATTGAATTGTAGTACCTGTTGCATTAAAGAAGTGTATGTTAATATTATTGCATGAAGCTCACAGTGGGCAGGGTTTGTAGCGGTCCTTATAAGTGCTTATAAGTCCTTATATTTGAAAATAAAATATAAAGGCCCTTAGGTGCTACTTTTTCTTTAAAGCCCTTATTTTTTTTTTTTTAGGCTTTTTTTTGCTTTTAGTTTTTTTTTTTTTTTTTTTTTTTTTTTTTTAATGAACACGCAATTTCCCCGGTACCAAAGCCAAAATTAAATAAACATTTTCTTCCTAATATGGATGTCAAATGGTGAATCAATCTCGGATAGCTTTTCCCCCTTTCTCTGCTTAACATACCTTGGGGTGTGCAGCTACAGACGGTGCCTGTAGTTTCTGTTGTCAAAGAATGCGAAAGCAGTAGAAATTCTGGTAATTCGGCTTCTTTCCTTCCCCCAAATACTACACACGTTGAATTTCTATCAGATCTTAATATTTGCATTCTATCTGTTTTTAGTCGTATGCTTATATTACGCATTAATTTTGAATTTGTAATAACTAGTGCAGTACTGCTGAGTATACTAACTTCCAAAAGGTTTGTGTTTTAACCAGATTAGCTTTCTAAGGAATAATATTCGGAATGGCTTAATGAAGGGAAGTAATCAATAGTCAAATAATTTCTTTTTTTGGCCATACATTATACAGTATGAGGTGGGAGTTCTCCCTTTTCTCCGCATCTCGAATATTGAAAAACTGTTATTCGAAGCACAAGACGTTTTTTTTTTTTTTTTTTTTTTTCCATCTGGATTGAATAGGACTAAAATTCTGCGTCTACCAACCCAACCGAGAATTTCTATTCTGGAATTTAAAACTCCGGTTG